ATAAAGAAGAAGAATTCTTACGGTATAATGGAAATACAAAGTATTAATAATGGCTATTGGATTCTTATAACTTATAAGACTAGCAGTGTAGCACATGCCACATGATTAATATTTTCATGTGATCTTAAATTATATTTTCTCGTTTATATTGTGTGTAGTGTCCCAGTTAAATTTATAAGAGACATCTCATTTTATTTTATTTTGAGTGCATTGCATTGCATTTCTTTATTAAGTTTGACTAAGGTTATTAAGTTCTTTAAGATTATTTAGACGTTCTCGTCTATTTAATTTTTTAAGTTAAATAATTTAGGTAGAAGCCCTCGTCTACTAAAAATTATTCAAGTTTTAGCAATCCGTTTGCTAATCAAGAATTCGTTCGGTTTCAGGTCTAAGTGCAAGCCTTTTTGCAAATTGTTTTCGACCCAAATCCAAAGAAATTCTCGGCCCAAATTTAAAGCAATACCCGGCCCTTTTGTGCTAAGAAGTCCGCCCCATATACTCCTAATTTTGGCTCCACTTTGGCTTGTTTCAAGTTGACCAAATTAGCTCGAATCAGCCCATTTTCTCCCCATTTTGCACGCCCAAATCACCTCAACTAAGGCAAGTAAGATCATTTGTTTTCCTCATCTCCATGTTAAGGCTATATCACCTTTATATCACCTTTCTCCTCTCATTGTCGACCCTCAAAGCTTTAGTAGCACTAAAACACCAAAAAGACTCTCAAAATTCTATCAAAGTTTCTCCCAAAAAATCCCTCTCAAAGCTCCCTTCCTTTCGCCGTCGCCCGAGCCACCGCGAGCGTCACATCGCTCGCCGCAGCTGCGCCTCGCCACCGCAAGCGTCGCCAAGGAGGAGATCCAAGGAGTTTTTGTCCGCACGTTGCTGCATCTGGTAGAGGAGATCCACACAGCCTCACGCCGCGAGCACGTAAGCACCCACGAGTTCAGGCCGAGATCATGCAACACCATCGCCGAGAAGACCCTCGAGCGTGTAGCCGTTCACGCCGAGCCTCATTTCTGAACCTCCTTTCTTCTTAGCTTGTAGATTTCCGAAGAGAGGTATTGGATCCGATATCCTCGTTAAGTTGTTTAAATTTTTTCTACTTATACCGATTCCATTCCAAATCGTCGTTACCATAAAATTAGGATCATGATAAAATCAAAATGAGTAAATAAATTTGTATGTATCTAATAAATCTGCCAAGAGAATAGCGGTCAACACTACACATTAAATGAAATCAATATTCCTTTTTTAAATATAACTATAAATAAATTTTAAAATTACCATTTTTAGTATATAATTAATGATTTTGACGGACTATATATATATATATATAGATCACATTAGGAGATAAATCTTTCTAAACTCACATAATTACACCAATAAAAAGGGTATGACCTATGAGTTCATTCAACAAATAAGCAAGTATATTTCTTATTTCGTGTCCCACGAATAGAGCTGTCAAAACGAGCTTAAGCCTGCGGGCTGGCCAGCCTCCCACATCCAAAAGGGCGGGTTGGGCAGGGATTTTCTAGGCCCGTTGGAGAGCAGGCCTAAACGGACCAGCTCGCGCAAGTCGCTGGCCAAGGTGGGCGGGGCGGGACGGGCTGGCCCGTTAATTATTAAAAAGATAAATAAATAAAAGTATAAAGACTACTCAACTCCCTCAATATCATTTCGTCAGGCGCCTCAACTCAACCCCTCATCTAACAAACCCTAATTGCCTAAACTACACCAAACAAACTATTGCCTCCGTTCTCCTCCTGTGCGCCGGGAACTCAGTCGCCGGCCCCCGCGCTAGTCTTAATCGTCGTCGTCCCCTTGAACACTCAGCCGAAGAAGGAAGGTTTTTTTTTTCGGATGAAGGGAGGATTTTTTGGGACCCAACCGAAGAAAGAAGGAACCGTATTGAGAATTTGGGATTAATGAAAGAATTTTTTCGGCTATTGCTCGGGAAATAATTTGAGGATTTTTTTTTGTTTTTNTCCTCTTCTTTGTGTTCTTATTACAAGTTTTATCACTACAAGGGATTTGGAAAAACATGGGCGGAAAAGGGAAACAAAATGGCAAAATATGGGCTCGAAATATATGTCTAGATTGATCCAAAATTTTAGTATTTAAAAAAAATAAGAAAATAAAATAACTTGGCGGGCCTAGTGTTGGGATCCGTGATGATTTCGTTATGTACAAATTACAAATTCTATAACAACAAAAAACCTACGCGCAACGGATCTAGAGGTTAAGAGTTGAACACTTACGGCTTAAAACTTGCAGACTCTGAGTTGTTGTAGATTTCCTATATAGAAGATCGTCTGAACTCAAAATCCATTAGGCTGTCGGATTCTTCTCGTCGGACTCGAGAAGCTCGTCGGGAGCGTTGGCCGGGAGCAGCGTGCGTCGCAGGGTCGCCGGATTGCGCGGGATCATCACAGGGGTGTGGCTGGTCGGACGGCGTCGAGTGGCTTGCGGTGGTCGTCGGGGCACGCGAGAATGTCGCACGACTGCGTTGCGGGTTGCGGCATCTGGCTGCGCGCGGTGATCGTCGACTGTGGATGATCGACGGTCACGGGGTTGATCGTCGGTCGATGATCACGGGGTCTCGGTAGGTTGAGATCTTCTACTGTATATCTTGAACACCTCTTGTATCGGTGGAGCAACAAAACGAAGACAAAGCTCGACTATAAAAACTAGAGAGAGAGAGAGAGAGAGAGAGAGGGGCGCCCGAACGTGTAACACGTTGTGTCTCTATCAGGTTTCTTTTCTTCAATTTCATGAGCTTAATGATGTATTTATAGAGCTTAATAATGTATTTATAGCACGTTTGTCCTACCTTATGTGAATTTTATCCAGCTCGGTAGTGATCCTTTGAAACTTAGAAGATTTCACTCTGTTAGTACCTTCGAATTGGCGTTCGAAAATTTTTCATGCATCACGTGTCGTAGTGCACTGAATGATCGTCTTGTAACGGGTCGGGTCAGCCATCCACATAATAGCATAAAAGGTGCAAAACTTTGCTTCCTCACCAAGTTTCTCGTTGTCAGTTCACAAATATCTTGGTTTTACGACCTTCATGTTATATGGATGTAACGATAGATAAAGACGACGTGAACTCTTTCTTTTCGAGGGAAGATGGTGATACCTAATTTGATCACGGCTAATAGAAGAGTGACACATGGCAAAGCAAACAGAGGCTAAAAATGGCTTAAAATGCCCAAAAAATGGATTTCTAAAGTGCAGATTTTTCTAAGTATGGAACAAGCACGAACAGAAAGTATTCTGGACCGAACAGAGCCCTAAAGTACGAATAAAAAGTATTTCAGACCAAACAGAACCCTAAAGTACGAACAAAAAGTATTCCGGACCGAACAGAGCCCTAAAGTACGAGCATAAAGTATTTCGGACCGAACAGAGCCTTAAAGTACGAACATGAAATATTCCGGACCGAATAGGGGTTCTGAAATGATGAATAGTAACTTGTATTACATATAATGAATAGTACTAAAAGTGCAAATGTACTACATTATAAGCTATATTATAAATAAAGTCTCAATGATGGAGAAAAAGGGGGAGACATTCATTCTTTAAAAAGAGAAAACATTTTTAATTCTCTGAGAGGCATTACTCAATGATAAATTCTAATTTTTGTATAGTTTAATTCATATATTTTCTCATAAGGGACATTTATCCGAAAGTCACGTATAGAACACCTATTCAGTCAATATTTCGATAACAAATCTATTCATGCAGATTGAACAAAGTACACAATTTAGTGTACAGTTCATTTTTTGTTATTGACATTTTTTAGCATCAACAGGAGACTTCTCGATTATAGACACATGCCAACTAACCTGAACAATCGGGCAACTCCCCTTTCCTAAGGACCGAAACAAAATCATGATCATAGAATTCCAGTAGCTAGATCTATCAAGATACGACGGGCGCAAGATAGATATAGCGACGTTGTTCAAAATTTCTGATTCAAAAGACCTTGACTCTTTATCATGTGATCAGAACAGTAATACTGATCTACTATCAAATGAAAGATTGTGGGGGAGTATGTAGAGTGCACAAAACGTGTTTCAACGAAGAAATTAAAAGCAAAAGCGACAAATAAACAAACTCGTATTCGGAAGTGTCATACTACACCTCAAAGCTCTTTCATTAGCAAATTGATCACGCACATGGTATATAGTTTGGGATTACAAGTTAAGGACTCCCTCCTAAACCTACCAACACTATACTCACACCTACTAATTACTTTTCTGGCCACAACGTAGACTAAAACAGCTAATTGAAATTCCTCCAAGCTGATAAAGTACTTAATCTCTAAGTACCCAAGAGTCTATGAGTAAGGACAAGACCAGCTCATCAGTAATGTAAGAACACAAAACTGAATAGCTGAAAATCTAATCTAGGAAAACGTAAAACAAAACCCACGAACTCTCAAGACTAACTTAAACAACAACCTCAATGATAATTGTAATTGCAGCAGCAACACTCCCAGTCTTCATCATAACATATATACAAATACAAACTCCAAGATACGAAGGAGTCTTCACATTCCCATGTCTTCAACGTTTTTCCATATGGAGTCGATTTGCTTCTAAAATAGATCGACTTCTTTATTGGGAGATCTTCAAAATCATTGTTCAATATTTGCGGAAGAACAATGTTGCCTAGTTTTCATGATTCTCCAAATCATGTCCAAGATTTTCATCATTATCTTCATATCTTAATCTCGATTTTGTCCATGTTAAGTTCTGGATCCTCATGCACAATCAACTCTCCCATCTTTAAATAATGCATGCATCCCTTATTTACAAGTAAAAGAAAACTCAGCAAGGCAATGCATGATTTAGATATGACAAAAGAATATAACTATGATAATATTCCTATATAATGCCTACTATAGTAAATAAATCGAATATATAGTAATTAATAGTAATATATAGGAACTAAAATGTATACGAGAGAATAGAAATCTTCTCTTTAATTTGTTTTACTTTCCAAGCAAGAAAATAATCAAATATACTTAGTTTGCCGAATACTTGTCAAACTACATATTTTACACAACGCATGATTATAACTCGTTTGGCTTTTCCCAATATATGTCAACGATAGAACGTTTGTGAATCCCATAATTTTTGAGTTATTTAAACTCAATTTTGAGTTACACATAAACTCAAATACCCTACGTTTTAACATAGAATTAATTTCATGTTTACCTTATAAATTAGTTTTCAGAGATTTTATTCTAAACCTTTTGCTTATGAAAATGGAACTGCAAAATCTACAAAAACTATTTTTTCTTATAGCCATCTTAATACTTAAACATAGTATATAAGTTTAATAAAAAAGGTATTTTTATAGGTTAACATAATGACACTTTTTAGTTTTAATTTATTATACAATAAAAGTTGTTGCAAGTATATACAAAACATGTAAAAATGTATGGTAGCCCATTGGCCATTATTTAAAAAGAAAAAAGTTATCGCGTTGCGAAATAGTTAACTTAGTCAATACGCGATTGTTTCTAAATTGACATGCCAAATGAGTCAAAACGGTCGAAAATGAAAATCACGAGATCCCACGGGTACATTGAATAAATTATAAGCCAAGTAGAGAGATTGAAAATTTCCTTATACATTCCTACTAAAATTTGAGGTTACATTACCACTTGACCGTTTCATCTGCTACAGTAATTTAAATACTGGAAATTAATATTTTCATTTTGCCAATTAGTTTTCCAGTTTATTGACTATAACATAGCTTTGAGTTCAAAATAATTTAAAGACTATCAGTTAAAGAAAATCTTCAAAATATACACTTGGCCTCATAACAAGATATGCAATCAGAAATAATACAGGCAATCAATCAACAGTCAATCCTTATATGATATTAATAAACGTGGTACAGTTAATCACCTTTTTTTGTTAATCACCATTCTACACTGTCAAAATAATTAATGTAATGAGTTAACAATTAAAGATACGCATAACAAACATTAGCTAATATTTCCA